ACGTTTTTTGTCAGAATCAATGGTTTCATCTTTGTAATGGCTTTTCTTGGATGATTTCAACTCCTGACTTTCTACTCTTGTCTTATTCATTGCAGCATAATCCGTAGTATCTTCTGTACACTGAATAGCATTTGACACCTGAACAACAAACTTTGAACTTTTCAATGTCTCAGCTTTCGGCAAAGCACGTTGAATGGTTGCAGACTGCTTACATGAGGCAACTTCCTTTAACATGGTTTCCTGGCATTTATTGTCTTCAATATCATTCATCTCAGAACCAAGTCCATCTGCCTCCACAGTTTTGGAAACCCTTTCATATTGCCTACTCCAATCATTGGGCTGATCTAGAAGTGAAGATAAATCCATTTCTGCCGCGTACTTATCTGAGAAGAAATGGATGTTTCTGAAGCTGCCATTCTCATTTTGTAAACACTGACTATCTAGTAGTGAAGATAAATCCTTTTTTGCAGAGTAGATACCAGGGAAGAAAGGGACGTCTCTGTAGCGGTCATCCTCGTCTGTTAAACACTGACTGTCTCCATATGAGTTTATCCCTATAGGTAAGTCATTTCCTACACCATACTGCCTTGTCATAACATCTTCATTTTCTACAGGTACAACAATTGTGTGATACGGAATAACCATGTCACCTATCTCTGCAGACAAGACACTGCTTCTGTCATATTGTTCCACCTCATCTGGAACAGCAGTGTCCTCAAAATTAGCATTCTTCAATTCCTGATTTGTTTTCTCACCTCTCAGACATTTCATTTTCAGGATGAAATGCTTCATTTTTTTTTGTATTCCCTCTTTTGAGGATAGGTTCTTGACTTTCTTTTGCATCTTTGATTTTTTTCGTTCAAACAGATGGTTCAAGTACTTTACGAGTCCTCTATTAGGTTTGTGTTCATCCTTTTCGAAGCACCTCTTGCTTTGTGTATCCACGGAAGTATGACTTGTTTTCTTTTGTTTAGGCTTGTAGCCATGCATAACATTAAAATCACCAACAGGTGATTCTTCTTGCACTGCACATTCCTTTTCTGCAGGTACAACAACCATCTCCTGTAAAATATGAATTATAAAAATGACAAACCTCATAGAGAACAACAAATCCTTCAATTGGGGATTGGGGTTAATTTCAGCTGTTTTATTCACTGAACTTCAAAATGGTTTATACTAAATGTACTGATATCATCGTACTTTAATTACTTTATCAATTAATAAACATTCAACATATGATCAGCTAACTTTCACCTATTCAAAGGTACAGACTACTTCTCCTAGAAAAGGGGTACTCATTCCAAAACTGAACAAAAAGTGAGGAATATCTGCAGAAAAAAACCTGCTCTATTTCCCCAAAATCAAGTAGGGAACAGGCTGTTGTGAAATTTTGGTAGAAAACGTTAACATTGTCTATGATATATTTTTTGTACATATAGCCAATTTATGATAGTAATCAAATTATGACCTGATCAAAGTACAATAAGTACAACTAATATTGCCTCTGTAGACTGGTTTCAGCAATGGTACTACAGCACATAAAAATACTAACATAGGGCTGTCATTTACAACATTTCTGTTGCTGTTACCTGAAATTTGAAACTCAACCTGTACTTGAGTACTTCAAATATATTGCTGTTCATGGGGGTCTATATTACCAGAATAAAATAAATCAAATGAAAGTGACTTTGCAGTTGAAGTGTATATCCATTTTGTTTTCTTAACGGAAAATTAACCAACAGTTTATAAGTTCTGAAAAACTATTTTTTTGTTTTACAGTCAAGTAAAATAGGACTTACAGTTGAAGGGTAGACTGCAGCTGGATTTCCAGCATCATAATAAGGAGAAACTGGTACAGCCATCTTTATCAATAATGTCACTTTAACAGCTGACAATAATTTAAACACTTTTGTGTGATACCTGAAAAAGGACAAAGCAAATACTATTACAAAAGTGCATAAGTATCAAATCTATACCAAAGACAAAAAAGGCAAAAATCAATTTTTGTTGTTGTTTTTAAGTGAACGATTTTGTTTATATCTTAAAATGAAGTCATAAGATTGAAGCAATATATGTCCATCACATGCCAATCTTGGATACTTAAAATATTTCTGACACATTATTGTATCTGAATGTATGAAAATATGGAATTGTATGGAGATGAAACAACATGATTTGTACTGTATTACTACACATTGAAGTTGAGAAATATTTCTGAAATATGGGGAAAGGAAAAAACATACAATTCTCAACCAACTTAAGGTGAAGTAATATATATATATCTTTCATACAAACAAATGTAACCTTTATACATAGATACATAGATTTATTCTGACAAAATTAGGATTTTACAATCCTTTGACAGTCAGCTCTGAAATAAAAAACAATTTGATAAAAACATTGGCCATTTCAAAGGTTGTGACATTTAGAATTTCAATTTGTTCTTTAAAACTGTATTTTGTGCTTGGTTTTGCCAGTGTTCATCTAATTTATATTCAGATTAAAATTGTTTAACTGTGCTTGAATTCACAACAATAGACAGTAAGACAGAAGATTGTTTCATATAGTATACAGTTAAAGTATGGGGTTGAGGGATATAGCAAGTTTCTGGTGTCCCTTGACTATGCCTATTTCCCGAGGTGGAGCCGAGGGAAATAGGCATGGTCAAGGGACACCAGAAACTTGCTATATCCCTCAGCCCCATACTTTAACCGTTTTATTATACCGATACACACTGGAGAGATAGTTTTAACTAGAAAATATTTGTAAACCATAAGCTGTATAGCTTCACGTCCCAACTACCCCTTTGATGGCAATGGAGCCAAATGCTACCGTTTTCGTTAGCAAGCTCCGCCCACCTCGCGCGTCGCTTCCGAGTTCGTTAGCAAGCTCTGCCCACCTCGCGCGTCGCTTTAGAGTTCGGTAACAAGCTCCGCCCACCTCTCGCCTGATTGGCTCGGCGGAAACACCCGAGTGTAGGTGTGTTTTAGTTCACAGACTAACACACAGGACTAAAACACAGTTAGGCAAAAGTGGGGATATATTCGATTTAACCAATTACTTTTATACAGAGTAAATAAAGTAGATGTATAATAATAAAGTATGGGGTTGAAGGATTTAGCAAGTTTCTGGTGTCCCGAGACAGGTCTATTTCCAGAGGCGAAGACATCAATGGCATCATGCACTGGTTAATATCGTCTTTATTATGTCGTTAACAGTTTTCGGAATGAGATTCATCAGTTTGGTATAACAAATAAATAGTTTGCTGAAGTTTGTTTTGAATACAGATTCTAGTCTCGTCTGTCATTTCACCTGTGTTTTGAATACGAACAACTGCAGGGGCGTAGAAACAGTAATTAAAAACAGATTTTAAAAGCTTCTGTTTCCTTTGTTACGAGTGAATGGAAAAGGCGTTCAAGATTATATAAAAGTGATCAAATTTACCTGCATGAGTGAAGTGTCACGATTTTCCCCTTCAAAACTTAATTATTCGGAGGAATCAGTGTATTATCACTTTGGGGAAAACCACCAACTTGCGTATAATACGCAGTAACTTTTGAAAGATATTATTGGTACAGTAGCTTAAAATAGAATGATGAAATGTTATAATTACGACGCCATTTTATATCGTCGTCTTTTATTTAAAAAAAACCTAGGCTATTGCTTATAATTAGGAAAGATGCAATAAATTAGTCATATTTTATCAAATTGGTTTGATACCATATCAACTTTAGAATATTCTATCATTGATGAGGTATAAATGGTCCTGTAACTGCCCGAAACAATGTGTTACGTTACGGCAAACCAGAGACGTATAATACATTATTATACGTCTCTGGGCAAACTGAACTTGAAGGGTGCTACATTTTTTTATATGGCTCATAAACCATTGAAATCTAACTCATTAACATGATCTTAGTATCGACATTATCTACTTACGTTTACAATGTGTAATCAAAATATGACAAATCAGGATGGACTTTCACCGAGAATGTCACAACCGCTCCGCCATCTTTGTTTGGAGGGGGTCACCCTAATGAGTGTCCTCCGGGTAATGAGTGTCCTCCG